TATATATATTTATTTTTATTTGTGTTTACTGTACCCTTCCATATTATGATCCTCTTCCCAAAGGTTGCCTGGAAGAAATCGCTGTTTAGCGATAAGGCCGCCTGTTGCACCTCATGCATGTAATATACATATAACGAAAATGTAATTTCTTTAGTTTTAGTATGTTGTGCAATAAAGAATAAATAAATAAATAAATATATTATAACCGATGCTATCTCAACGATATTCCAGTTCTGTTAAATTGTTAGTTATGAAAACGTTTGATTCTAACTCGCCTGGGACTCAAGAGTTTAAATGAACCACCCGTTAGATTGGTTTAGTTTAATATTTATACTTTTAAGGGTACAAAATATAATCTAAATTTGATAGCAATTTACAGTATAGGTTTTGGTTTTACGTAATGCTATAACTTTGTTCTATGCAGACTGTGTTTTTGCTTTTGTTGATAGAAGAAGAGAAATAATAGGAAAAATAATTGTCTATTTAAAAGGCAAATACTTCAATTATAATGGATTTTACCTATGGTATATATTTTTCGAATGGTTACATATAAAGTCATAATGAAATATAGTAATATAGACTTGTAGTCCTAGCCTCGAAAGCATATAAGGATAAAAGCAAAAGAATTTTCCTTTGACAGAATATAGCAAATCATTTTAATTAGAACTCTCTACAAGATTTTCAATTTAATTCTCGTTTTTAGATTGCATTTTTTAATCAAGTGTGACGTTTCGATTACAGTTGGTATCTTCTTTTGCAGGACTTGATAAAAGTGTTAATATTTAATATAGCAAATATAAAAAAATATATTTCGAATTATAATATATCATATACTGATAACTTCAAATTCTTGTGTGATTAGATAAGGCGTTGTTGATTGATAATAACTCAATATATTTCTAAAAAGACTAAAACGTTATCTATACTTTTTGCAAGGAATTTTATTTATCAGCTAATATCATACACTCAAATTTTAATATCTTTAAACTTATATTAATTTGTACGTAAGTTTGTACTTCGCAGTTTCTAAATTGAATTTCATAAAAGATTATATAAAGAAACTAGCTTCTAAGTAGGTCGTATAAAGAGGAAATATGTATTAAATACATCCAATCTACATAACTACACTGTTAGCACTAATAAAAAAGTAATAGGATTTCTAAAGAATTTTCTCTCAAAGTTTCTTGCCAATTCTGCTTATATGAAAGCGCGATTTCAATATAGATTTAATTCTACCAATTCTACTAACATATTATTTATTTGATGATACTTAATACCTTTATATGAAAGTTTATTGGTATCTGTTATCACGTTACTGTGGATAAATTCTATCATACATTGAATTTTCAAATAAAAAGCAATATTTCGTTGATTCATATGGGACTGGTGTAAATTACACCTAGCACTTCACGCTCCACCAACGGCTTCAATTTTTGTGTTCGATTTAAAACTTGCTATGGGATATTGAATGTCGTTCGTTTGTGTTTATTTTTATATGAATATTTAAATAATTATTATATAGAATGATTGAAAACTCTATATATTTTTTTAAATATAAAACGTATTTAAAGAATAATTAAAGAATATTGTTATGAAATTTAAACATGCTTAGTTTTTGGGTCAGTATTCGTCTTATTGTATTTATTTTCTTTACTTATTTTGTGATATATGTATATACATAAGTTTCAGTAAAAGTACTACTATTTTAACCATTATATATCTAGACGAAACTAGAAGAATATTTTCAGTCCATTGACAGTATTCTCTACATCGGTCTGAAAGTTCTACTAACTTCAATGTCAAGTAAAATATACTTTTATAAAACTTTATACGAAATTTGCTCTCAAATCAAGGATCATTGTGTTCTCTATATGTTGCAGTAGCGATAAATGTTATCGGATCGTGAAACAAAATATTCGTCTCAAAACCATGTTAAATCACACTTTGTAAATTTAACACAATTTTGGCTGCGAAGCATTTTACGTGCTTCCGCGATAACAATAGCATGTATTATAAAATGTCAGCATTAAATTTGAAATGTTTAAGAGAGTACATCGATTTTACTTTGTCACATTTATTCTTAAGACTATCAATTTTAATATAAGTGCCTTTGTTGTTTACGAATTAATAATATATTTAATTTTGGAAATGAAGATAAGTATTTAGATTTTTATTTAATTCTTCATCTGAATAGTTTTTAAAACAATTTTATGATTTCATATATCTATTTTAGTAAGTCATTTTCAATTACACATAGACTTTTCTCAAGGCTTAAATTGTGAATGGAAGTAAGGTATTCTTGGATAAAATATATAACGATTTTCCTGTGAATGTTATAGGTTTCTTCAAATCTCAAGTGATTTATTATATCATATATCAAGATTAATTATTATATAATAAGGCTAGGTAAGATTATTATTAATTATGAAACATAAGATTCGAACCACTAAGATTGTGATAAAATGTACCTATTAAAAATATGTTATAGTCATTTTATTTAGCTGGTAATTTATAATATTTCGACCAATATATCACCTGTATTGGAGGCAGCTATTTGGCAAAGCCACCAGACTCCTGGTATTAGCGATAAAACTAAATCGTGGTCGCTTATCTCACCGCACTAGGACCGACAACTTATTTGGCAGCTTGCGATATTAATAAAATTCCTAACCGTTTATTAAATCATTTAATATATATTATTGATTCTAAGTTTTTACTCCATCGTATACTTATATGGGTATTACTTGGTGTACCAGTAATCTAGATTGCCTCGACATAGCCCACCTTAAGCAAAAACCTTCATTAAATGATCGTGTAAATCTCGCCTTAAAAGTATCATCATACTTATATTAGATACATGTCTATACGATATTGAGTGTGAAATTTTGCATGGATCGTAATATGTTGCTTAATAAACTAAGAACAGGTCAATGAACTTGGTCAAGGAAAATTCAGTTCGGGTATTACTAAGGTCCTTTTGATGTACTTCCATTAATATGTAGGGTACCTGTTGTATGAGCATACTTTTTATCAGCAGTAATAAATGATGTTTATGAATTCTAGTAGGATTTTTATACATATTATCACTGGTAACTGATTTATATGCCTTTGAGATTTACAAATAAGTAAGATGATTGTTTTTAACTGGTAGTTATAAGATATTTCTCTTAAACTTTTAAGAGATTTTTTAACTTTTTTTTTGCGTAGAAAATGTAAAGAGACCAAACAGTCTTCTCTAAAGATTAGTGGCAACCAGGTTCATGACCATGTACAACATAAGAGCCATTGTACATTATGTATAGCCGGCTTTGTGTCTTTCGAATCAACCCAATAAAAATTCCTAACTGTAATCGTTACAAATATAAAAAAAGCCTTCAAACATTAATGTTATTCTTTATCATAGAGCCGATTCTGTATGAGATCGTATCTGAGGAGTTTGGGATTTAAAGATTTGCCCGAAGCTTTACTGTCCCGACGTTCTTGTAATTTGCAATGAGCTATGACAGTGGGTGGTGTTTGGGGGACACCCTCGCAGCCACCCCGGCGGCTTTAGAGACATTGTGTTGTCATTTTTGAAAACGTGATGCTAATATTAAAGGCCGGCTTTGGATATGTTCGCAGACTATCACGGATCATATTCGATGTTCTAACCATATGCTCTATTCTATTTGATTCTGATCTAGTTTGGGTCTCTGTGTATATATATTGTGAGTATAGACTATTGTTTATTGTGTTTCTATCAATTACGACACCTTATTCATAGTGTATGTACGTAAAGACCTCTTGAGTTGAATTAATCTGTACACAGTATGGTGGATTAGTTCTCTAATTACTTTAAGTTTACTTATTAGTACCTTTGTTTTATATAAAAGTTAGTTCTATAGTTTTTTAGCTTAAACATGTTGGTGAGTAATTTGATTTTCCACGAACTCAGAAATGTTAATATAGATTAAATTAATCCTTTAAGTATTTTTTATGGATAATATTTTAACAATTAATTTATTCGAGAAAATTTTAATCTTACAACAATGTTTTACTTCCTTGTAATCTATTTTTTTTGGTTTTCGTGGAATTTGGATAAAATCTTTTGTTAATATAAAAGGTAAAACTAGGGAAAGGAAGAAACAACGATATTAATTAAGTCTCAGTGGTGAGTGATGAAGCTACAATACAAACTCAAATATACAATACATATCCACACAAATACACTCAAATCCAAATATATACATATATATTATGTTAAAAGCCCTGTATGTTAGTTTGTATACTCATGTCACATAACAAATTTATATGATTTTAAAGTTGGCTTCATACACGCTAGGTGAATTTAAATGTGCTAAGCTAGACTTGTATGTATGTGGAAACGGGAGTACGCTCTGAAAATTTGATATAGTTTTATAAGTAATTTACATACTTATAGTTATTTAGTTTGTTATTTACTGAACGCTCTAAGCTTTGTGGTTTACATTTGATATACACTGTAAATTCAAGAATTTTATACGAAATTGATCTTATATGGAAATTGTATTTATTAATTTATATGGTATGGTTTATGGTAGTCAATGGTGGCCTAGTGGTTAATGGGCCCGCCTCTCGTGCACGAGGGCGCAGGTGCGAACCTGGCAAGTACCAAAGTGATTTTTCCGAGTCATATGTACTTTCTAAGAGTATTTTTTAGACACTACTGACATACGGTGAAGGAAAACATCGTGAGGAAACCTGGACTTATAATTTTACAATTATAAGTTTGAAATCACCAACCCGTCTTGAGCAAGCGTGGTGATTAATGCTCAAACCTTCTCCATGTGAGAAAAAGGCCTTTGCTCACAGTGAGCTCTGATAGGCTGATGATTGTATTGTATGTGTATCATTGAAAGGGATTTTGTTTTGCAAAATTCAAAAAAGTAGAAATAACTTGTTACTCGTCGACCGTCGTTTTCATTCAATCTAATTCATTTTAATTCTAAAATTGCTTAAAATATTCCAAGAATTAAAACGGTATGGATGACTTCTTGGATGGACATTTAAGATTGAGTTCCGCGGATGATGTCATGATTCGACTGCGGTTTGATATTACTCACGACTAATTTTATATGAGATAATTATTTTAATTAATATGAACTAAATGTTTCTGATAAGTCACTACGGATGCTGGATTAATCTTTGGGGCACAGATATAATAATTTGTATGTATATACTAAGATAATTGACTGTGAGATGAAATTTGACGTGAAAATAATAATCTTCTATCTTCTTCTTCTATATATATAAAAATGGATTGCTGTTCTTTAGTCTCGCTAAAACTCGAGAACGGCTGAACCGATTTGGCTAATTTTAGTCTTGAAATACTCCTGGAAGTCCATGGTAGGTTTAAAAGGTGAGAAAAATTGGAATAATTGCCGGGAAAACCCTAAAAACAGCCCTTTTCTATTTCCCATACAAACGTTTTTTTTGACATTAGATTTGACAACTAACTAATATGTCAATCATTCTGTTTGATTGAAACAGGAAAAATCTGATTATTTATGGCCTCTAAGACGGAATAGAGTTCGCCTGGTCAGCTATACCTACATATATTACTCTTGACCAAACTAACGCGGACGAAGTTGCGGGCAAAAACTAGTGCTATGATAATAATTTCAAGTTCGCTTTGTTTTATAATTAAGTATAATTTAAAAGATGTACATTACATGGCTTTAGGAGTTTATTGGCTCCGTTTCGAGACTGACCCTGTTCATCAGATTTCCTTTCCATTAAAGGGATTTACTTAATTAAATTTTGACGTGTTGCCTGTTTCCCCTTCCTTAAATGAGATCGCGTAGTCCCGGTTATCGTCTTAAATTTTATGATTTATAGAGAAAAATTGCCCGTTATTAATTTCACGCTACAAAGGATTCTTACTTAATTTTATTAAAACCATAACGGTTGGACGATTTAAGGGAGATTTTTTCGACTAATTTGTTTATATTTTTTTAATGCGTATTGCAATATTAACTTTTCTTCTATAGCGGTCATATAGCACTGTTAATATTCAGGAATGCTATATTTCGCAAGCGGGAGGCTTATTTGAATGCCGCCCGTGTACAAGTTGCATAAGGCTTAATATAAAAAACCTTAACCGACATACCATTCCATACAGTTGGCGCATTACTGACTGGATTCGTTTTGCATCTTTACCGACAGCTGATCTTATGTATTAAAGAAATTATTTGATCTAAGCTTTAGTATACTATGAGTGATATGTAATTTTTTTATTTCACTATGAAAATTATTTTGATATAATATAATATTATAATTGCAAAAGTTTGTGTGTGTGTATGTTTGTTACTTCTTCACGCTTAAACGACTTAACCGATTTTGATAAAATTTTGTATACAGGAAGCTGACGTCCAGGAATAACACATAGGCTACTTTACACTCCGGAAAATGTTCGACTTTTCCTCATATAAGCGAAAAACCATATTTACTTACTCGAGAACTCAACTCCTAGCCAAAACAACATTATCGCTATGTGCCTTTTACCGTAACGAAATAAATTCATTACTGCTGTGAAATGAAAAAAACAATTTTCCTTTTCAAATAGGTATAAAACAAAAAAAAATTCTTCATCTTTTAATCACCAAACGAAATGTTACATAAAATAAAGCCTTCTGGTGGCGAAGCGGAGTTCGCCGGGTTTACTAGTTTTGATATTATTCGGACTTGATTGCCGCTGTCGAATTATTCCTTTATTTTTATTCTCACTGGAATAGTAGAACATTATGCACATGTCAACTTTTCTATTTGTTGGACGAATTATAAACTTGAGTACTGTGTGGCGGAAACACGATTTAATTTATGAAATGTAATTAAGGTGTTTATTTATAACTTTATTTTGATTCCTATTTTAATATAAAAAAGATAATGCTTTCTATACCAAAATTATGGCGGGTGTAATGATTATTATCAGATACTAGATATCAGATTTGATTTTTTATACGTTAGTCGTTTTATTATATAAATAGTCACGTAACTATAGTCTCTACTATTATTAGTATATACTAAAAATCAATGAATATATAAAATATATTACAGCTCCATAAAATTCCATGACTAATAAGTGTAATTAATAATAAATACACACATGTAATTCAATATTTGTTTAATATAAATTCTCATTCATTTATTTTGGTATATCATATCAAATGTAAGTTATTTCATTCGATTCATTTAATTCTACATACAAATAGTTCCATGTCTATCATCTAGCCGCTATTGAACTGAGCTAATTATTGCCTTTATTTCTATTATGCTTATCACTCGTGCGGTTGACCCCGATAGTTGAACTGTCAAATGTCAAGTTGTAAGTACGTGTGTGGTGGAAAATTCGATCTATCTATAATATATGGAAAGAATGACCTTTGACCTTAATGATTTTAATTTTGGTTATTCAGTTTTATTGATATATAAACAGTTATTAATTTCGTTACCTATATGTATACATAAAAGAAAGTTGTGTTAGTAACACTATTTATAATTTTAGAACGGTTGAAGAGTAATGGTTGGAAATTGGCGGGGAGATAGTTTAGAACCAGGAGACGGACATAGGATATTTAATTCTGTTTGATCGAAAAAGAAAAAAATATCTAATAAATTCTAATATCTCGTTGTTTTTGCCGTCTTTGAAGGTATACAGTTCGTACGATCAGCTATACATCAGCTATCTTACTAATTCCGAAAGCAACGCGGACGAAGTCGCGGCCAAAAACTAGTATGTACTATTTATTAAACAGATCTTTGAAGCGTATGATTTTATTAACTCTAAAAAACCTGAATTTAATTTTAAAATACAAAATTCACTTTGCAATTTATGAATTCTAAATCCTGGAGCCGGGAAATTGAAAGAAGGTATTTCTTTTTAATAAGACTTACAAAAAGACTGCTATTTCGACGATTTGGTCTATTTGTCAGTGAGAATGAATTTATTTGTGTAGTTATGTGTACAACATGAGTTTAATGTAATTTATGTTTTTAAGTACTTGTTATATAGGTACATACATTCGTGAAATATCTAATACGAGAGCTTCAATTTTTCGTTTCGAAATAATCATCATCATCATCAGCCTACCAGAGCCCACTGCTGATCTAAGAGTATTTACTCTCTTAGAAACTACATATGACTCGGAAAAATCGCATTGGTACTTGCCAGGATTCGAACCCGCGCCCTCATGAATAGGAGGCGGGCCTTTAACTACTAGGCCAGAACGACTTTGAAATAATAGTAGCAGAAATAAAGGAGATAATTCTTTTTGGGCCTTTTTTAAAAGTACCGGTCAACAAAAAAAAATGGTACATGTTTGTAGAACTAACCATTTGGAACAATAGTTAATATGGCGCAAAAGTTGTAGGATCCAAGGTATAGAAGTTATACAAGTTTCAAGATTCATCATTTTGGTACATCTATTTTTTCTGAAAGTGCTAGGAAACATAAAATAATGATTGATATTGCTAGAGTTAAGCTTCTCAAGCAAATCATTATAGACATAATCTGTTAGAAACATGTCGTTTTTATGTAATACTAGCGAACCCGACAGACGTTGCTCCGCCAAGTATCTGAACGCATGCAACACATTTCTTGATGATTTTATTATTTGTCTAAACTAATATGTATATCAGCATGTATTATAGCATCTCTAAAACCACGGTCTAATATAAAAATGTCACCAGGCCGGTAAAACCAGTGAAATACATCATTCACATTATTCAGTGCATCATTAAAAATCTTTGCATCGGAGGTTGTTGCAGCGTATGGTCCATCTACCGCTATTATGGTTCCATTGCAACAAATATTTAAAAAAGGCTTTAAAAGATTTCGAAACTTATGGTTGCTATAAGATTTTCTTTGAAAAAAGTAATTAGTGCTCTTCTGTAAATATATGTAAGTGCCATCAAGTATAGAGATGGCCTTTCTTTCTTCAATCGGACTATCAGGATTACCAAATAATCGCTCTGGCACTATGAGGTTCCTCTGCGCCACTTGCTCTCGCGTCATATGATCAAATCCGACCCGAAATGGTACAAAATCAGTTAAAAGTGCTTCTAGGCCCATTTTTTTAATATATAAAAATGGCACCCCGATATACATATTAGTTTAGACAAATAATAAAATCATCAAGAAATGTGTTGCATGCGTTCAGATACTTGGCGGAACAACGTGTGTCGGGTTCGCTAGTATTACATAAAAACGACAGGTTTCTAACAGATTATGGCTATAATGATTTGCTTGAGAAGCTTAACTCTAGCAATATCAATCATTATTTTATGTTTCCTAGCACTTTCAGAAAAAAATCAATGTACCAAAATGATGAATCTTGAAACTTGTATAACTTCTATACCTTGGATCCTACAACTTTTGCGCCATATTAACTATTGTTCCAAATGGTTAGTTCTACAAATATTTACTATTTTTTTTGTTGACCGGCACTTTTAAAAAAGGCCCAAAAATGTATGAAGCCTGAATGATCTCCTTTCTTAGTTAAATTATATCGGTGCATGATACAAATTCATATAATTAAATTTCATATAAGTACATATCTGAATTAGAATTTTTTATCATACGATATTACATATATAGAGGTCCGTTTAACAAATGCAATTTTAAAGGAATTATGACCTTCTTAATATTACTAATTTAAAGTACAAAAATACCTATTAAATTCAATAATCCATTATAATATATCTCCTAAAATTATTTCTGATATGATCTTCGTTGACAGTAAAATCATTAGAGATGAAATGGATAGTGGTTTGACCGGATACCGGATGCCGAATATTCGGCAAGCTGATAAGCCGGAACGCTAAATATAGGGAAACCAGATATTTGGTACTTTCGGACATTTTCTAAGAGTTTGATTTTTTCTTAAGACATCTCCCAAATCGTAATAACGATTAATTATACATTTGGTCAGTTAGCTTAAATCAAAACCCGCAGTTATAAACGTCTGCTAGAATAAATTTTTCTAGCTTCTTCTTTTAATTTTTTCAATTAATTAATTAGAGTGAATTCAGAACCTGGTAGAAGCGCTT